ATTTTAATTATTCTTTACTGAATATCAGCGGTTCTCAAAAATGGACGTTAAATTATTTAAAAAATTAACATGCGATATCTATGTAACTATTAAGTTTTTAACAAAACATTATTAAGAAAATCTCTTCAGTTTTACCTCCAGTACCTACTCTTTTAGTCTGCTCCGTATGTTATAAATCACCCTGTATGTACAACTAAGGACATAGGGATGTTGGTAAAAAGTTTTTTGTAATTCGCGACGGTAATGACAGCTATTACAGTACTCAAACGGGTGCTGTAATGAGACTCCTTACAGCATCCGATGCTGTAATGAGATTTTAGTAACATTTTATGGAGCCAGTTCAAGTTGGTGACATTGCGTCATTAATTTTTCTAGTTGTCAATGTGACAATTTTTGTCTATGGATGTTTAAACACGTTCTTAGCATCGAATACAAGGTCCACAATGATAAGGACATTGAACACTGAGAAATTTCTCTTATTTTGGGAGGTGTACATGAAACATTTTTTCAGGTGAATACATTTTGTGTTTTGACAGTTTCTAATTGTCAATTCAAATTTCTATTTTCAAGTGTTACGGTGAAAGAACGACGAAATCTCATAAGTAGCAGAGCCCACAGAAGAGATTATCGGTCTCAATGGTATGTCATCTTTATGTATTTTAGGCAAAAAGTATGCTCTAGATAAAGTGGAGTTGTATGTAGTAAGTTGTTTCAATGTGACTTCTTCTATTAACTTGTTTTCATAGATTTCTTTGACTAATTTATTTATTCTATATTGAATTATGCTAGTCATATCTTTGTTATTATCCACTTTTTTATATGTTGTTTTATCGTTTACCATACCTATCGCCTTCCCAATGTAATTCTTCCCCATATTGTGAAATTCCAAAGATGCCCTTTTTGACAATAATATCATGTTTTCGGTATTTTGTGTTATTAATTTCAATTTTCTCACACACCTTTTTTAATACCTTTTTTAAAATTTCAGGATAGATATTAAGTTTTATAAAGTCCACACAACACAGATTTTTTGAACGAGTACAAATAACTGGCTAAATTAAACTGTGATTTTATTGCAGCTGTTAAGAGGATATTTTTCCTATTTGTTACAATATTAACATATTTTTTAGTTTGCTTATGTTTTGCTTCATTTCTCATTACCCACAATTTTTTTAACGGCCCCAATTTTTTAATTACAGTCGGATAGTGAATTATAAAGTGATATTTGGGTGTTAATTCTACATTGAATAAAGAAATATGCGGTTGATGACGGTTTTTTATAATATATCTTAAATCATTAAATTTTTTCGTCATTACACGATGAACATAAGTGAACAAGTTTACAAAGCAAAATGAAAAGTTTCCAAACAGCATCCTGTTTGGGAACTAAATCACCGATCATAAGCGGAGGCAGACATTTTTAGTTTTGAATCTTTTAAACATTTTATTGTGATATTATTATATAGCCTTTTCAAAAATAAAATAATTTAAAAACTTTATAATCTGTGACAAATTCCCTCGAAAAGGTCGTGCATTATATCGACCGATACGTTATCTACAACATTAAATGATGGCAACATAGTAAACACACGCTTTTCGCGTATACCCGTTTCACTACTATTTTCTACAATTACATCTTCCCAAAAATGTATGGAAGTTCTTAACAAAGTTGCAACTTCTTCGACTTGTTTCTTCATTATATCTTTATGGCTTTTACAAATCCTACAAAAATAATTTGCTGAAAATGACCATGAGTAACCTAACATCGTATTAAGACCCAAATTATCGCCTATTACGGCAGCTAATACAAAATATATACAAATCGATTTTGATCCTAAATTTATTAAGATAACAGTCTCCTCTAAATACTTAAGAATCGAACACAGTTGTCCAAAAGCTTTTTCCGTACCAAACTCAAAACTAGACGTCTTGATAAGACAGGCTACAAATATGTTGTTTAATTTAGAAGCATAATCACTTGGTAACGTAATGGAAGATTTAAATATATTGCTAACAATTTTTGTATATTACTTTTTGAGCCCAATGGAGAGTTGATCGAAATCGTCTTGATATAACAGATAAGGCATAACATCGTTTTCCATACACTTCCGGAACATTCATTAATATAAGATTTGTCTACTTTAATTGACTTTAAATTGTTATTAATTGATTCTAATGATTCTAAAACATTAGGTAATTCAAGAAATCGTCTTAAGTTGTCCTGCAATGGTAGAACGATACCCTTTGACACTGATGATAGTATATTAATAATTGAAGATTCATTTATAATGTATTCAGTTGGATCGGAATACGCATTGGAGATTTAAAATTGCTTACATTTGTATTCAGATTTAAACATATTCAACTAATCTATTACAGAAGAAAATACTTTATGAACTATACCAACACAATCTTGGTTACAAGAAATTAATTCGGCTTTAATTGTATCAAACATCGGTTGTATAAGTAACAGTTTGTAATTTTAAGAGCGGTTTTTCGAGTAATTGAAATAGATCCAAATAAATCTATAATAAACGCTGTAATTTTGTCGCAAAAATTTAGGGTATTGGAGTTTTCGAATGATTTACTTGTTAAATGGATGACAGAAGAAGTAAAAAAATTATTGACATTTTCTTCATTAGTACTTGACGCGACAGATTTGTTAATGTTAAATGAACAGGTTGTTAAACAATTTTGTTTAAAATTGCTTGCTATATGGCGTTTAAAAGAATACAAAGATTGGAAGGTTTGTGGGCAAACAGTGCACGAAAAATTGCACTATGTGTTTTTACATTTATGTACATATTGTAAATGTTTAATGTGAATTTCAACGCTTTGAAATGATTTTCTACAAAGAAAACAGTTTATATTTAAATTTTACAAGACGGTTAATTAGTAAATAAAACAACGCATAAACGTTAAGGTAAGTTAAAGGCTTAACTTACCCTGTCAATTCGGAAATATATGCGGTTACTGCGACACTAGGAACATTATTGTCATTTATTTCGTAAAAATACTATTCAATAAATTGCCAAGCCTGTAAACTGGTAAACTGGGGTTAGTATTTCAAATTAAGAAACCAAACAGCTTCGAATATAACTTTTATTCTGAAACATTGCACTATATACAGTGTCCGCCAAAAGTCAGCAACACAGAAATACATATATAATAATATTGTAAAGTAAAAACACATTAAAAATTGACAGCACTAGCAATTCAACATAACGACGACCAGTTATGAAAGGAACAAATAAACAGGTTAGACATTTGAAGACATAAATTTTATAAAGTATCTGTTGTTATTAAATTCTGTAATTTCGTTAAGAATTGGTCCTACTTTGTGTCTTTTATGCTTAAAAATCTGGAACTCTTCAATTAGGTCTAGCTCTCTCGATTTGTTTATTCTTTTTATTAGGTGTATGTTGTTAATGCTAGAATTGTGATTTTCATTTTTCAAATGTTTACAAAATGTGTGGATAAGCTCCTAGATAAATATTCTTTGGCTCTAGTTTTTAAATTACGCCCTGTTTGTCCTATATAGAATTTAGTACAATCTTCACAGATAATTTTATAGAGTCCACTTAACTCTCGATTGTCGAATTTGTGGTTGGTATTAATTAACTGCTGACCTGAAATTTGGGTCTAATTTAACACATCGAGAGCCCGTCATTCATCTGAAAATATTCGTTGTTGAAAAGGAAGAAGTTTTGACTACAAACCAGCACGAGGAGGTCGGATAAAGCTTGAATATTTTCGTATTTAAGTTTTAATTCAAAGTGTTTCTCTATTAAGTATTCCCTAACGATTGATATTGTCTTTTTTATGGAAATGTTGACGTATAGATTAGTAATAGATATCAAAGGAAATTAGTTTTGAATTTTTAGAAAGAATTAAATTATTAGTTTTTTGTATTAGTTCGAGTGAATTTGTAATGTTGTAGCAAAATCTGTCCTTAAATATTGTAAGAAGATATTTTTGAATAATTGCATGTTGGGGTGCATGATTGGTCTAATGTTTTTATCCTCTTTGTGTAATTTAATTAAACTCTTCATTGTAGGGATTAACGGGTTCATAACAGAGGTGTTGTAAGTGTTAATGTTAAATTTATTTTCTTTATAATATTAAAGTTGTCTTCAAATTTCGTTTTTTTTATGTGGGTTGAACATTAATTGGGCTTCCATTTTTATAGTTATGTCTGTGGGTTTTATATTGAACGGTAAATTTAGTTTATGGCTAGATTTTAGGATGGTAGTCTCTATATCATTGAAATGAACATTGCTCAAACTGGTGAATTTAGGTGCAAATGTGATTTCATTGAGATCTCTTACATTTATTCTTACTTTTAAATTATGGTCAAACTTATCCATTCTCCTAATATGAAAGTACTTATTATTACAGGTAACATTATTCTTGATAAGATTACAATTATCAATTTCGTCAGAAGTTACAAGTTTTGCAACATTTACGTTATTAGAATTATGAATATTAGTAGTACTTTTATTATTATGTGAGTCTTTAAACCTCTGGTTACCTTTTTTCATTTTTTCCAGTCTTTCTAGCTTCTTCTTCTTAGTTTCTTTATTCTTCATTGTTCTATAAATAGTTTCCTCTTGAAATCTTTCATACAATTCTTCGTACTCCAAATAGTGTAGATGCTCTTGAAGTTTTCGATGAAGAAATTTTAATATTGAGTCGATGTACGTACGCTTTTTGTAGTGTCCACGAAGTTTCTTCTTTATTAACCTCTTCTCGAGTTGATCTTTTTGTTGTAGAAAAGGTTTAGGAACCTTTATTACAAATGACTTGGGAGTTAGATCTTTCTTTATTGCGGTATGTAAGAATTTTATATTATCTCTGGTCTTCTCTCGTTTCAATACAGTACTTCGTAGTGTTTGGATTAAAACAGATAACTCTGCTGTGAATAATGAAGCCAACGCATAATCCAGATTCATCGTGAAAATATATTAATAATAATAAACTTCAGATTAAGTACGATGAAAAATTATTTATTAAATGATATTGGTGCAATATTTTGTTTAAGTATAGGTCAGTTTGTGTTTATATCCACTTTAGTATTGAGAATATGTCTTCTTCTAATATGGTAGGTACTTTTCCATTTTTCCACGACAGATTCTATTGGAGACTGACTATAACGCAACCATTCTTGATCAGCGTTCACTCCGTTCACTTCATCTACAGCCTTCACTTGTTGTTGTTTTGATCCTTATCAGCAATTCGTTTTTGTTTTAAATTATATTTGCTTGTAATGAATCCAGCGATCTGATACTTTTTTATAATACTGTAGTATTTTTCAACTAGTTTCCCTCTTTGGGTTTTGCCACCAATGTATGTTATCTGTAGACATCAATAAACATTATTGTACATAACTTTAATTTTATTATAAAACAAACCTCATTCTTTCCAGGAAATATATTTTTTATTTTCTTAGCGATATCCTGATATACACCTTTTCCTTCCTCTACTTCGTGGTCTAATAGATATTGGGCTATTATAGCAGTTAGTGCATGCCTATTTTTTACACTTAAAAACTTCTCAACACCCCGATTTTTTAATATGGTTTTTCCACATACTGTAGATTCCAGCAATTTTTCTAAGTCCTTAAATGCCAATTGTTCATATTTTATTAGAATAGATATTTAGAATAAAACCCTAAAATGTATTATAAATATAAGCCTTTTAACAAATTAGTTTGGTTAATACAAACATATTTTTGTCTTCCAACCAAATAATGCTTTTAAATCGAGCTTTACATTTAATTCTTTATTTCATTTCATTATAACGACAAATTTTTAATATCTTTTTATAAATCTGATGGGACCTTCGTACCTAAGAGATAAGATAAGTTTAATACCAGTGATCTTAACAAAAACAAAGTTTGAGCTGAACAATTCCTTGTGTATAAAAGGTTCTTCGCTGGCATGTATGGTTGACTGAACTGATTTAATGTCAGCAAAAGATGATTTTAAACTTGATAGTATTGGTTCAGTTTCAATTGATGGTTCGGTGCATATCAAAAATTCTCCCCGTAATCTGAGTGGCTGACCATAAACCAATTCTGCAAATGAACAACCTCAGTCCTGCTTCAGAGATGATCTGAGACCACTAGAACCACACTCTTTCCTTTTTCTCCTTATTACCTATCGTTCGCGAATTTGTTTTGTCAGATTTGACCAAAGGATTTGACGAATATTTACGAATATTTGACCCTACGTTATGAACTTTTGATGTTAAAACTTTGTAACTACGAAAGGGATTTTCATCAATAATATGTGTTATTAAGTTCCAAAATAACGTTAAACTAACTAATAAGTATAATAATTATAATATTTAAGTGGTTTGAAGTCTTTTATTAACAAATTTTTATTTAACTCTCATTCTCTCTATTTAAATGCGATAATAGATTATAAACATTTCAAATAGATTTTTAGAATCTATTTGTACCTTATATTCTATTCAATTTCTTTTTTCGAATCTATCTTTGCTCCTATCTGGCGACGCTCTTGTACATAGTTAATAGACACACAGTCTATGTAACGACAGGTACTTAGTCATTATGACCTATGCGAGGTTAACTTCAAATTTTCCTAGTCCCCAATTAGATAGGATTTTACATGTATAGTATTTTGATTATAACAAGAAAACTAGTCAACCAATTTTGATAATCAAAATCTCATTCGAAAGCTTAATCTTTGGCCANCCCCAATTAGATAGGATTTTACATGTATAGTATTTTGATTATAACAAGAAAACCAGTCAACCGATTTCGATAATCAAAATCTCATTCGAAAGCTTAATCTTTGGCCAATAGGAAAGTGGAAATGCCCGACTCGAAATCTCTCGCGGGGTCATTTCAATGGCTGTACGCACATAATTAGTAAATTTTGAAATCGGACATTTCCACCTTCGCATTCATTGCAGATCATACTTTCGACCGAGATTTTGATGACTAAAATTGGTCAATTAGTTACGAAGATAATTGATGTGTTTAATTAATTCGTTTGTTGTGTTTTAATCAAAATCCTTAAATATTTCGAATCGGGCATTTCGACAACAGCATTCAGCCACACACAAACTTTCGATTGAGATATAAAACATTAAAATCCGTCAAACTGTTCTCTAATTATAGTCGATTTAGTTTAAATTAATTTTTTAGCACGAGTGTTCACACGTGCATAAACAACGAGCCGAAGACGGTGTCATTCCGAGGGCTGTATATACTTAGCGGGAGAGTTGAAATCGAGCATTTTGTGATTTCGATAGAAGACACTATGACGAATCGAGTGACGTATAATTATTAAGCTTTCGAATGAGACATTGTTTATCGAAATCGGTTCACTGGTTCTCATGTTATAATCAAAATACTATACATGTAAAATGCTATTTAAGGTCACCGTTCAATGGCCATTTTTATATGGGCCCATAGAGGCTGATAGAGGTTACTTTCTAACACATTTATGACTTTCTACCAAATTATTACAGAAAAGTAAATACATAGGATTGAAGTACACATATTGTAGTAGTGAATGACATAATTTATTTTGTAAAATAGTTGTTATATTAACAATAATAAATTACTAAACTTTGTCATAAAAAGGGTGTAATAAAAACTGACTTTTATGACAAATTAAGCACTTAAACGAGGCGACAATGCTTCATTTACTAGATGTGTAATATAAGAAGAGATTCCGTGACAGTGTAACTATAATAGATTTGTTGTTATCTCAGGATTGTGTTTTATCTAAAAATGTGCAATTTTCAGGTAATTATTGAAATATGTAAGGGAATCTGCTGAACAACCTAACTTTGGTATTTTGGCAATCGTCTTATAGATGGCGATATTTAAAGAATAAAATATTGCTTTATTATTTTAACTTTTAAGTTTCATGATGTATTGT